ATAGTAGACTGATGTGATCCAGCAGAAAGAAATACTGTTAACAAGGTAAAAATATGTTTTAATTAGAACGTGTGGGAATTATATTAAGAACCTGAAAGCTTTTAAATAATTATGTTACGTTGCTTATATAAAGCTTGAAATCTGAAGATTCATATTGTTAATGGAAAATAGATGGAAAAGAAATGATAAGTTGTTTATTTTTAAAGTGGAAGAAAAAATATATTGTTTGTACGTGTTAAAAACTAGAAAATGGAACATAGGAGAAGAAAAGTAATAATACGGCTAAAATTGGAAATAATGGAAATATAATGTAAAATGAATTACGTCTTTTGGTGGGAATGTTAAAGGGGGAATTCGGACAACACGCTGTTCACAAAATAATTTTTATTATGTAACAAAAATAAATAAAAAAAACCTTTAATTTAAAAAAAGCAGGAGACCCATTTCAGATGAGATTGGATGTCCAATCTCACCTTTAAAATTTCAAGTGTTGGAGCACCCACAGCTTCTGAAGGCAAGTCATTCCACTGATTGATTGTTCTCACGGTCACGAAATTTCTCCTTAGTTCTAGGTTGGATCTCTTTTTGATAAACAGAATTACAGAATTGGAAGGCATTGGGGGGGGGGTGTCTTCTAATCCAAGCTCTTGGTCAAGCAGGAGACCCTAAATTGTAAATTGTTCTCACTGTCTGGAAATTTCTCCTTAGTTTTTAGGTTGGATCTCTTTTTGATAAACAGAATAACAAAATTGTATTTTTATTTTATTTAGTTTGCCAAACATGCACAGGATAACAGGTATAAGTATAAACATGGACATGAGCACATGAAATGAGTTCAAATAAATGGGACAGTGGGACAAGGATGGCAGGCATGCTGGTGCGCTTATGGATCTCTTCGGAAAGGGGTGAGGTCCACGTTAGACAGTTTGAGGTTGAAGCTGGGAGGGTTAGAGGATGTAACAACATTGCAGGCGTTGACCACTCTGTTGCTGAAGTCGTATTTTCTGCAATCGAATATGGAAGGCATTGAATCTAATTTCTGCAATCTAATTGGAAGGCATTGAAGGTCTTCTAGTCCAACCCCTTGCTCAAGCAGGAGATCCTAAATTGTGAATTGTTCTCACTGTCAGGAAATTTTCCCCTTAGTTCTGAGTTGCTTCTTGTCCTGCCTTCAGGTGCTTTGGAGAATAGCTTGATTTCTTTGTGGCAACCCCTTAAATATCGGAACACTGCTTTCATGTCACCTCTACTCCTTCTTTTAATTAAACTAGACATACCCAATTCTTGCAACCATCCATATATTTTAGCCTTCGGTCCCCTAATCATTTAACCACTGCATTTACCACTCCTGCATTTAACCACTGCTGCATTTAACCACCCCTGCATTTAACCACTGCGCCGAGGTGGCACAGTGGTTAAATGCAGCACTGCAGGCTACTTCAGCTGACTGCAGTTCTGCAGTTCGGCAATTCAAATCTCACCAGCTCAGGGTTGACTCAGCCTTCCATCCTTCCNATGAATGACCGGGGGCCGCAAGTTGGAAATTCCCTTCAGGAAGCTGCGGACCTTGGAATGACGTGCTAGGGATAGGTGGTCGCTGGGAGTGAGGATGGAAAAATCCTCTGGTTGGAAAATCCAAGTAAAGGTTAAATTTCTGTTGATATGCTGGAACCACTGAAAACATGTCCATTGGGCTAGAACTAAATTGAAAAATCTGAGGAGCCGGAGGTGGAGGCGTGGCTAAAGATCTCTCAATTCAGCCCAAGGCAATCAGACAGAATTTAACCCATGTTTGGACTCTCCAAGCAGCTTACAGGAAAAGCTGCCAGCTGAATTTTGACGAAGAGACTGAGAGCACTGCAACAATGGGAACTCTGGGTAGAGATCATTTCCTTTAAGATGCTTTGTAGTTTATTCCCAACTACTGTCTCAATGGTCTTTCCCAAAAAAGAAGGCTGGAGACTAGGTGATAATTATTCAATACTCTTAATATAGAAAGAGCCAGGTAACACACCCTCCCCTTATTTCAAAGCTGCCAGTAATATCTCCTCTCACAACAAAGTATTAACAGTCTTCCTGGTCCAGAAAATTACCTCCCACCTAACAACCTGAAACAACCAAGAGGGGCAAGGATTCAGCTACAGGAGGAAGAGAACAGATACCACCTGATTCACTTTATTTGAAGCCATGGATCAAAAGAAATGATCAAACCAAACAAGACCATGCCCCTGTACTCTGTCCACATGACAACAAGATTTGAATGAATCTGGGAAATTTTGTTAGTGGAATATGTGGATTTTTGACAGCAACCTTGAGGCTTTCTAAAAAGCAAATGATTAATGTCAACTTGTTAATGCAATCAAAGAAGTCTTTCACCTCTCATATCACTATGGAATAAGTTTGAATGTAGATTTGAACTCCACTGGCATTGTAGTCATCTGAGATTGGCCAAAAGAGGGAGACTACCTTAGAGATAATTTCATCAAAGGCCTGAATAATTTTAGAATGCCAACAGTGAACCAGGCTCTCAATGGATTCATCCAACATGTGTTGGAAAATTCTCCAAGTGCCTGCCAGAAGCTATTGGGGTGGAAAAACTGTTGTACTTTCACAGGCCAGAATCTGCATTAGGGAGAAATAATGTAGTACTCCACCAGAGGTTTGGGGAAAATTCTCAAAGACTATTGCCACTGAGGATGCTTGCTGGAACTAACTATCACTGAGTCAAAAATCTGACAGTAACTTAATTACTATACTACTGTTTGACCTAAATTATTGCTTACATGTCTATCCTAAATATTCCTACATTGGATTTTTTTAAGTGTAGATGTTTTTCAGTTGCTAAACATGAAAACTGGGAGAAAATCAATTGTTGGTTGTTGTTTTTTCCCCACAGTTGGCCAAATCTCAAGAGCTTGATTCTACATGAGATATCAATTGATTAATAACAAGAAAAAATGCTATCATTTACTAGTTATGTGTACATTATATAAAAGGGGAATAAATCAAGATTTTTTCTCATTAAAACTTAACTAAAATACATTTAAGATAAAACTAAGCTTAATGGCATTATCTTGACTTTGCTGTCTGCATTTATATTAGGAATCTGAAAATAAGTCCCTCAAATACATGTACACTTAATTGGCATATTAAGCTGATGAGAAAAAAAGTATTTTTAATTAGTTCGGTTTTACAATGCCAGCCTTCACAAAATTAGAAAAGGTGTCTCTATCTAGCCTGAATGACTTTTCCCCTCTAAAGATATTTAAAGTACATAGTTAAAATGTCAAGGTCATATGACCTATCAGGTAAACAATTATTACCATGAAATATAACCTACAAAAGAAGAAGCAATTGCTTTGCTACATATTACTGTATTAATTAATAATATATGAAAATACTATAGAGGCTATCATGCTTCTCAAACAAAGAAACAAAAGTCGAAAGAAATCTATTACAGAAAAAGGCAAAATGTAAAGTCACTTGTATAAATACCACTCTAAATGAAGTGGTTATAATCCTCATCATGATGTTTTTTAATGATATATAAAGATCTATCTATTACATCCTTGCTGAATTAATATTAAGTTTAGAAAATAACAGAATTGTCTTCAGAAATGCTAAGACAGAAATAAATTTAAAACAATTCTGAAACATATTCTATAACTTTTAAAATTATACCTTAAAAATGCCTTAATTAATTGGGTTGTTGCTTTTTGCTAACAAAAATAAGGAATTGGATATTATAAAAATCGGAAGTTAATCTGTTAATTTTTCAATTATAATATAAATCCATCTGCAGTTAAAATAATGGACAGAGGAGTTTGTTCAATGAAATTTCCAGTAAATAAGCTTTAAGTTTATAAGCTAAAGCCAATTTGAAGCATATTAACATGCCATAAGACATAATTAGCTGTTAGCTACCTTCAATATGGGCCTTTTTAGATGTTTGGACTACAACTTAATAATGCAGTTTTGTCTACCAGCTGAGGATGAGGAATATCTAACATACGGGGTCCTTGGTGCTCTCAACTTAGTTGTTTTCTTGTAGTCATTTTCTTACCCAGTTAGATAACATGATCATTGCTAAAAGGGAGTTATGCACATATATAAACAGAGAGCCAACCTCATTCCCTTCTAGCACTGATGTTACCTAGTTCAATAATAAAACATCTCTGAGAAACAAGTCAGAGTGCACTAAGGACCCTACTATTCAACCCTGTATACAAATACAGTCATCCTCTTTGAATTCTATGGTTTTACGTATCAGGATATAGTAAAAATCATCACTTCTTAAAAATAGGTAAATACAACTTCAGATGAAGAACAACACATGGCATAATATATCATGTCATCATTTATTTTACAAAAAGAAAACCAAAATGGAGAAGCCATGTGTGAAAAACTAAAAGTACACCTTAAGATTCAATAGCTTGTAGAACTGCCTTTAGCAGAAATAACGTGTGGTAAATCATTTTCTGTAGGCTTTTATTATTCTCTCAATATGTTGTGGAGGAATTTTGGCACAATTTTCTTTCCAACATTGCTTGAATCCATTGGGAATTTATTTATGCACAGCTCTCTTTTGAGGTCCCACCACAGAATTTCAATCAGGCTGAGGTCTAGATTTTGATTGGGTGTCATTGCACATCTTGATTCTTTTCTTTTTCAGCCATTCTGTGGTAGATTTGCTTGTGTGCTTGGGATTATTGACCCAATGTCGACCAAGCTTTAGCTGTTAAGACAGGTAGCCACACATTTGACTCTAGAATACTTTAGTGTACAGAGGAGTTCATGGTCAACTCAATGAATGCAAAGCACCCAGGTTCTGTGTCTACAAAACAAGCCCAATTCATTACCTCCCAATCACCATGTTTGACAGTTGGTATATCTTTGTGCCGATAAGCTGTGTTTAGTTTCCGCCAAACATGGCACTATGCATTAAAGCCAAACATCTCCACTTCAGTCGTGTCTATCCAAAGGATTGTATTCCAGAAGACTTGTGATTTGTTCAGATACAATTTTATAAACTGAAGCCATGCTGCCATGTTCTTTTGGGGGAGAAGAGGCCTTCTTCTGGCACCCTTCCAAACAAACCATACTTGTTCAGTCTTTTTCTACTTGTACTATCATGAACATTTAACATGCTGAAGCCTGTAGACATAAGTTTTGATTTTTTTTGCAATTTCTCTGAGCATTGCAGTGTAACCTTGAGGTGAATTTGTTGGGACATCCACTCCTGGGAAGATTGGCAACTCTCTCAAATGCTTTCCACTTGGGAATAACTTTCCTCACTATAGAATGATGGACTTTAAATTGTTTGGAAATGGCCTTACAACCCTTCCCAGACTGATGGGCAGCAGCAATTGCTTCTCTTAAGATCACTGCTGAAGTCTTTACTTTTTGGCATTGTGATAACACACACCTGAATGTGTGCTAAACACTATAAAACTTTGCCTTTTATAGAAGTAGTCAATTGATCGAGGGCATTTGATTAGCAGCATCTGGCTGCTACTTAGCTTCTTCATTCCTATAGAAGCAATAAAGATGTACTTAGTTTTTCATACATGGCTTCTCCATTTTCGCTTTCTTTTTGCAAAATAAATGATGATATGGTGTAATATGTCATGTTGTTGCTGTTGTTCATCTGAGGTTGTATTTACCTACTTTTAAGAACTGCTAAGGGCCAGATGATTTGTACTATGTCCCAATATATAAAACCATAGAATAAAAGAGGATATACTTTCTTTTTCACATAACTATTTACTCTTATATTAATATTTAACATATCTGGATTTCAGCTCAAGAAAGATGTATTGAAAACTCCATATAATTTAAGAATTTTTTATGTCTTAAGCAATGTACTGACCTTCATGTCTTGACCTATGATCAGCTTGAGCTTTCAACACCCTGTAGAGGAATAAAATAAGTAAAATAAATAATTGTACATAATTTACAAAATGTTACTTCAAATAATAAAAACAGATGAATAAAGTTATCCGTTCTCACTAGATTATCAAATTGAAAAATCTGATTTAATATCCTATGGAATTTTGTACTAATCTTTTAAAATGTTTTACTAGAGTGCTATATAGTATTTATTTCCTCTTGGAGCAAAGAGGGTAATTAGATGGTAACAGAGATATAGCACTAGACATGGCTACCTGGTCCAGGTAGATAACTAATTAATTCACCCTGTTTTATTCACAATGTATGAACTTAAATAGCTATATCAAGTACATTCTTGACTAGCATTAACAATTACTGATTTGTTACCTTCTTTAGCCTGAAAAAATAGGTTTTACTTAACTGCAGAACTGAGAACCTGCTGCAATAAGCCTGAGTGATAATGAGAGATAGGGGAGATCAGCTAAAGTCTTTGACTCCTAGTTGATTAAGTAGACCACTTGGGGCTACCTAATAAATTCTCAATCACTTACGTTTCTTAGGTCACAAGAGAGTCTGTTTAGCCAGACTTGAATATTAAAATATTGCAATGGCCTGAGCTACAATTATGCAATTTCTCTTGCCTTAAAACCAGGCAGAAGCCTGCTTTCACTAAATATTAAAGTGATTTATAGGAAAATCCCTACTTAAAATATATTGAATTCAAAACATATGGTTTTGATCTTATCAGAGATACTCTGAACACTTTTAATAAGATCAAAACACCACTAACAAGAAAGAATAACAACTTTACTTATGCATACTTTTAATTACACATTTCAGACTAAAACCAATTATTTAATATGCTGCTTAATGCAAATATATATATGTGTGTGTATATATATATATATACTATAAATCTTACCAAAGATATTAAAAAAAGGTTATTGTACCTAGGCGCCAAGTTGTCATATGTATAAGCAACACACATAAGTCGCTGAATCAAACTGGTTCCCTGGACAAGTACAAGAAATACCTTTAAAAAAATTGAAGTCAAAAAAGAACAGTTAATGCAACTGCTGCCTTAAAACTATGTGTTACATTTATACGTGTATGTACGTATGTGTGTGTATAATAATGAATAAAAAGTAACTGTGTTGTTTATAAATCCAGCATTTTAATGATCAGCAAGACAGCATATATTGAAACACACACAAAGTTTGATAAAATATGCCAGCTAGAATCTTTTCTCCCATTTATCAGAGTTTCACCATTTATGTACTAATATGATCATTTCAAACAAGTAGTAGACTGGTATCTTTTTTTCCTTCTGTGTAGCTGAGAACATAACCAGGACTTGCCAAGTTTTTGCTTCAGTTATTTAATAGGATTTGCAGTTGGAAGCTATTTCCACTGCTGCTATTTCAATTATGATATTTGTGGAATTGTCATCTTTAAGAGAACAACTAAAGCGATAGAATTAATTCCTGATTTCCTGGAGTATCTCTGGAATATTTAAAAAGCTTCTGCTTGATTTTCATTTCATATAATCTGTTAATTTAATTTCATTTAGGACTGTACTACAGTTGTGCTCTTAAGTATTAAATACACAGTATTAAACACTAAGGATATGGAAACTTACAAACAGGACCATTTTATAATTATTGCTATGGTTTAATGACTGTGCTATTCTGTGATGCCTAATATTTTAATTTGAATCAACCTCATTTTTTTTTTAAAAGTGCAATCACTCACATTTACTTACAAAATGGTCTATAATTCTGCAAGGGGAATGTAAACTTATTTGCCCAACTGTAAATTTAATTCAATATAGTACTATGTGCCGTGTATGAATCTGTTTAGTATCATTTTACCATATATTCATATTCTACTTTGCATAAGGAATTTGAAATGAATGGCCTAAAGCTTTTTCAGCACTAATATGAGTACATATAAAAAAATCACAACTAGGAATTTATAATTAAATTAAATTAAATGTTCACACTTTGGATGCAGAAGTTCATCTTCTAAATGTCTTGGAAATCACCGACCTATCTAAATATATTCAAAATATTATTTAACAAAAATGCTTCCTTAAGGCTCTATGCTTTTGGATTTTTATTTGCCATTTCAGTTTAGCAAACTGTCATTAAGAATATCCAGAATCAATATTGTTAATGAATTATTACTATATATACTTACTATATATGCTAAAATTAAATGTCACTGGATGAAGCTGAATGTATTGCAGTCAAAGCAGTTTACATACAAAATATGCTGTTCTCAGACCCAATTTTTTGTTAATTTACTGTGTACATATGTGTCCAGAAAATAAACAGTAGTATATATTACTAACCTTAACCCATTTTAATGCTTTTCAGATATGTAGGACTTCAATTCCCATAATTTTCAGTCATCAGATATGTAATTTTTTTGAGATATATGTTAACTTAGTAAGACTGCATTATTCCAATTAACCATTCATTGTACTTACTAACATTTTTTCCTCTGAAAATGGGTTTTCCAATTAAACATCTATGTAAATGTATTTACATTTATATTTATAGTGTCATACCTACCAACTTGCAGATAAGACTTTCCCTAAAGTCTTTGTTTTTATTGCTTTTAAAGAGAAGTTTTTCACCTCTGTTAAACGGGGTATGTGAAGGCCTTTTGTATGATCTCCTGCAGTTTTCCGTGATTTTCCTGGCCAAGTCCTTTTCCTGTGATTCTCTGCTACTCCAGACCAGGCAAAAACATCATGATAAGCTAAATCCAAATCTGAAGGATCCACAGCAAACTGGCATATCAACTTCAGCAAGCAAGCCAGACAATCTAATAACCACTAAAAATAAGAATAATTAAGCAGCTTTAACTTCATTTAATTTTTGATAATAGCAGAATACTTTAAAACAAACCTACAGATTCATTAGAGAAAATTTATAACTCATTAAGATGAGCCATTTACAACGTTACTTACAACTGTCCATGATTCCTGTTCCTTAGGTTCTAAAATTCCAGAATTAAATATCTCCAAGAGCTGCTGAAGCCCTCCAGAAGCCACAAACTGTAATCAAATTATAGAAGGGTGAGCAAAAATAAGTAAGCAACTAAATATGTGTTATTGTACAAAAACCACTCACTGATAATTAAATAATTATTGGCCTGTACTCTGGCCTTACTATTTATCTTCATCAACACCTACAGCAAAGTCCCCAAGGATTGGGGGCCTGTAATCATTGTCCCTATACCCCCCCCCAAAATGATCTTGCTAATTAAAGACCAATGAGCCTCCCTCAAGACAATCAGCAAAGATACCTACAATAGAAATGCCAGGAAGAGATGGAAAAAGATCAGTGCCTAGTAGTTCATCATCTCATTGAAAAATATTATTTCCGCAACACAACACAACCTCTCTTTATGCTATATATTTCAAAGCAACATTTGATTCCATATCCTGAGCTAATTTGTGGGAAAAACTCAACAGTCTCAATTTACCAAAGTCTGCTTCATTTAATATATATGGTACCTGAAGGAATCACACTCAACATAAGATGTAACTCCAAGGCCATCTCATCAGTGACAGTGAAACTGAGAAAGAGATCAAGCAAAGCTGCATATAAGCTCCATTCTTATTCTATATCAACTGTATGGTGGGCTAACTCCACAACATGGACTTTTATTCAACTATTGGCCTGGGCATTTGCCCAGGTTCGCCTGGTGCGCCAGTTGCGACCCTACCTGAACTGGGAGGCTCTCACAACAGTCCCTCGGGCCCT